TCATGCCCTTGATGCGCTGCGGCAAGCAAAGTACGCGGTCGAGGGTGGATGGTGGTGCCGCGAGCAAGTGTGAGCATTGTTAATGACGGCGGTGGTGGTGGTGAAGAGGAGAGGCGAGGAGAGGAGAGGCAAGGAGAGGAGGAGGAAGCTTTCAGGATTGAGAGGGACCAACCTTTGTGATTTTCAGGGCCAGCGGGTTGATGCGTGATGAGAATGACCGCTTCTGGGCCTCAATCTCTGTTTTGATGGCCTCGACGCGCTGTTGCACTGCGTTGATTCCCCACCATCAAGAACGTGAGCATGCTTTGCCGCCGTGCGACCGCGCGCCTTGAGACGAGCCTGACTCTTTGGCCATTTGGGGAGCGCGCGCCGCACCTTCGAGGTCATACTGTTCAAGCAGAACCTGGGCCGACTGCTTGATATCATCTTGATCACCACTGCCGCTTTGGCGGCGCAGTGCCTGCAGCGCGGCGTCCATCTTGGCCGTTCACCACCACCACACGCCCGAGCACAGGACCACAGACAGACCAGCGATGCGATGACAAAGGGATGCGCGTTTCCTGTCTGCGAGCTCGAACAAAAAAAAAAGTGAAGACGCGTTTGATCGGTTTCATTTTGAATATTTGGCGGGAACATTTTACCAATTGGTTTAGCCTGATAAATTAATCAGATATGATACTAGAATTTTATGTCTGACAATTGGTTTCTGACATTTCTAAAAAATCATCATTTTTTTCCTCAAAAAAAGTTCCGGGCGCATCGAGGTACCGGAGTCGGGTCGAGTGTGCGAGTTCAGTCAGGGGCGCTGTGGTCGATCAAGACCTGCAACAGCTGGGGCAGCCCGGCGGTGGTACTCGGGGTGGGCTGGATCCGCTTACAGACCCGTGATCTTTTTTTATTCATTCTCGTACTTCCAACCCACAAAGAGAACAACGGAGGGACGCGGGGAGCTGTTGGGCCTATGCTCCTTATGGGGATCCGGGCTTGGGTCTTGAGCATAAAGCTTTTTGCCTCCAGCCTGGGCAGCCTGGGGCAGCGGTACCCCGGAGAGAGGGAAAAACAATCCTGATAGCTTTTTTTTTTTGTCCTCTCCCCACCTGACCTCGGAACATGAATTACATGAACCCGACCCCTGTGCGCATAGGAGAACAACAGGACTGTGCGCTCTATGGGGGGACCCTGGCTCTGGTCTTGGGCATGGTGCTTTTTCGCCTCTGGGAACATGAAATACATGTACCCGGTCTGTGTTCATCTGCGGATGCTGAAGGGCGTTCAGGCAGCATCTACTGCTACTGGTCCAGCGGGTCGTTGGGGGTGCGATTGCGACCCCTATTGGGCAAAGGCCGTTGTTTCAAGTCCCTGGCACCATTTTGGCAGTCATCGTCGTGACTGTGGGGGAAGGGGGTCTCGATTATTTGGAAGGATGAGGACGGGGTTATGGATCGGGTCTGCATCTTGGCGCATGGCAAATGTCGCTCATCGATTTGCCCAGACACCAGCGGCCCGCAACGAGGACCTGACCTGTTGTGGCACACCTCGTTGGATAAGACCCGATCATTGACGCGAGACTGGGGACCATGCAGCGGCAGGGTCGGGGGCTGAGAGAAAGCGTATTTGAAAAGCACGTGAACAATGATTCCCGACGACGTGCCCTTCCTAAACCCAAACCCAAACCCGAACCCCGAACCCCGAACCCCGAACCCGAATCACATACGCTCGCACTTTCTCTCTCTGTCTCTCTCTCTCTCTCTCTGTGTGTGTGTGTGTGTGTGTGTGTGTGTGTGTGTCTGTCTCTCTGTCTCTCTCTCTCTCTCTGTCTCTCTCTCTGTCTCTCTCTCTCTGTCTCTCTGTCTCTGTCTCTCTGTCTCTGTCTCTGTCTCTCTGTCTCTCTGTCTCTCTCTCTGTCTCTCTGTCTCTCTGTCTCTCTGTCTCTCTCTCTCTCTCTGTCTCTCTGTCTCTCTCTCTCTCTGTGTGTGTGTGTGTGTGTGTGTGTGTGTCTGTCTGTCTCTCTGTCTCTCTGTCTCTCTGTCTCTCTGTCTCTCTGTCTCTCTGTCTCTCTGTCTCTGTCTCTCTGTCTCTGTCTCTCTCTCTCTCTCTCTCTCTCTCTCTCTCTCTCTCTCTCTCTCTCTCTCTCTCTCTCTCTCTCTCTCTCTCTCTCTCTCTCTCTCTCTCTCTCTCTCTCTCTCTCTCTCTCTCTCTCTCTCTCTCTCTCTCTCTCTGGAGAGAGATTTAGGGAAAGAGATTTCGGGAGAGAGAGAGATTTAGGGAGAGAGATATGTATGTATAGGGAGAGAGAGATATTTAATGTGCATGTGGGAGAGAGATAATATGATATATTGGGAGAGAGAGATTAGGGAGAGAGAGATATGTGGGGAGAGAGAGAGATAGGGAGAGAGAGAGAGAGATGTGGGGTGAGAGATAGAGAGAGAGAGATAAAGGGAGAGAGAGAAGAGAGAGAGGGATTTAGGGGGGAGAGAAAGAGAGATCGAGAGAGAGCTATAGGGAGAGAGAGAAATTTAGGGAGAGAGAGAGAAAGAGATATAGGGAGAGAGAGATATG